GTGCGTTTGGCGTGAGCGCGGGGCACCCAGCAGCTGCTCCTGCCTCCTCTGCGCCTGCTCATCCGTTTGCTGCACTGGCCATCAAAGCTGCTCTGCGAGTCCCGGTGGCTCCTGTTAGAGATAAGCAGATGTTTCTCTCCAGTGAGGCTGGAAACGACCCCTCCGTGCTCGCCTTTTGCCGTGCGCTGGGTCGGGCATCTCTGGCCTGGAGCCGGGCTCCTCCTCACCGGAGCTGGGGTCAGGAGGAGCTGAGTTACAGACACCGCAGCCCCGCGTCCTCTTGGGGTAAAATACCGGCGTGTGCTCTGGCGTGCGCGGGGACGGCCGTCCTCTGTCGCCTCAGTTGTGTCACCTCTCTCCTCTGTTGAATTTGGAGATGCCTAAGGAGCAGATCCTACCCTCAGACACGCTCGCCCGCCTCAGCGGGTATCTCTGGTCGGCTGCTGTGCTGCCTGAACCCTCTGCCTCCCTCCCCGGGCGGCTGCACCCCTCCCTGGGGCAGAGCATCCCTTTTAGCCTGCCTGGCAGCCCGGGCCCTGCGGCCAGTCCTGCAGGCAGAAGTCCCTCTCCTCCTGCCCACGAGTGCAGGCAGCGGTTTCATCGCAGGCTGGTTGTTTCATCCGGGGACGGAGGCAGAGGGTTCAGGTCAGGCCTCGGGGGACAACTTGCAAGCTTTGGCTGATGCCACCTCTGTGTGTGTGTCCCCTGGGACCGCAGGAACCTTTCAGCACAGGGCTCTGCGCCGTGCCTCTCGCCCGCCATGTGGAAACCAGCTTGTGCCATGCCTGCCCGCATTCGCTGTCAACTCTAGCCCAGATAAGAAGTGTCACCACGGGAGACTTGTGTCTGGGCGCCCTTTGGGACAGTTGGCAGGGCTCAGACCAGGGAGGATGCAGGAAGCGTTTCAGGACTTGTTTGTGCAAGAAGCTATTTTAATCTCCTTTGCCCAGGCTTGGAGTTGAATGAGGTTGATCTCAAAAACGGTGCTGCGAGGGGAGAGAGGGGGAAGGCTGCCCGTGCCCAGAGCTGGGGTCCCACTCCGGGCAGCGGAGACCTGCAGACCAGACTTTTCCCCATTGCACGCGCTTGTCGGTCTCAGCCCGAGTCTCCTCGGCTGCAGCCTAAGCCCATCGCCTCTCGTCCTACCCCCTGTGGACACAGATGAGGAATTAATTCCTTCCTCTCCACGGCAGCCTTTTACATGCTTGATAGCGTTTATCACATCCTGAGTAATCTCGCCTGCTTCTGCAGCCTCGCCAGCCCTGCTGCCTGCCTCCTTCCCGCCGTACAGCCCAGCAAGGCTCTGCGGCCCGGAGCGGAAGAGTTAAAAAAAAAAATTAAATAAGAAAACTGAAATTGTTGGTGATTATGAATTTTGGCAAGCAGAAAAAAAATTGCAAATTCTTTAGTGTCATGAGGGTGCTTAAAATAAAAGAGCTGTAATGAGACGAGATCCTGTAGCATGTGCGAGCTGAATTGTGCTAGATTGGTTATTCTCATTCTGCATATGTTTGCTGATGGCTTCTGCAAGGCAAGGGACGTGGTTTTGGAGTGATTTTCTTTCTGTTTAGTCTCTCTTCCCCCTCGCGCCCTCCCCCTGCTTCCCAGCGGTACAAAGGGTGCCCGGGACCGCGTCCCCTTCTGCAGAAGGGCTGTTAGCAACAGATGTGCCTTGATGACAGGGTGCGGGCACATCGCCCCACGTCTGCTGCAAGGTGCTTGGCTGATTCGGAACATCACCCCCGGATTTCTCCCATCAAATGAATGTGAAGTGAAGGCTCGGGGACAGATCCCCCTCTTGTTTCCCCGCACGCAGCCCCAAACCCTTTCTGGATTGAGTGGGTGCTGATTGTGGAAACCGATAGTGGGCGTGAAGGTGTAATAATCCCATTTCATTAATTACTGGTTTTGCCGAGGAGGACTTTATTTCCTGATTGTCCGCGATGGAATGAATGTTTTTAACTTCTCCTCTGTTTTCTCTAATTGTATAACCACCTTCTCTGCCCACGAAGAGGAGGATCAGGGCATCCTTGGCCAGGCCAGGGATGATGGGCAGAGGCGTTTGTCTCTCCAAGCCAACATCCCCGCTCAGAGCTCGTTACATAAACACGAGGCATTTGGCTGGATCAGAGGCTGCCTGCTAAATTCACAGCTCGCCGCACATGACGGATGCCCATCGCCCAGGGCGGGCCTGATGCTGCCTGGCACGGGCAGGGCTGTGCTTGCAGAGTTGTGGGGGCTGCAGCTCGGGACGGTTGTCCACTGTTGGTTTGCAGAAGAATCTGCTCCAGGTTTGGGCGAGGAGGTGGTCGGTGATCTCCCGTCACGCTGGTGCTTGCTCCGTCAGTTCTGCATGGGACTTTTTGCCGTCTCTCGCAGTTCTTGCGTGCGCTCGCTGCTGTTTCAAAGGAATTTCTTTCAGCTTTGCCTCTCCCCCCTTTTCCCTGGTTTTCTCACCCAGGGAGTGTCTCGGCAAATGTTAAGGCTGGCCAAGATCCCAAACAGTAGGTGTCTAGCAAAAATCAAAACAAATGGGGGGGGGGAAATAAAAATCACCAGACCCACAAGGCCAAGTTCAGTGGAACCGCAGCTGCTGACACCAGCGCCGCGCTGGCTCCGGGCTGTCCTGCTGCCTACATCTGGCCCCCACCGGGGCGGGAGGGAGCGGGACACGACAGGGCGGATGCTCCTACCCGAGCGGGAGGCACAGAACTGGAGTCTGAGGCAGGCAGGGAGGGGAGAAAACACCAGCTGAATTTCTTGGAAGCCAACCTCGTGCGATGTTTCTGGCTTTGCTGAGCGTTGGCTGATGCTGGGATGGGATCTGACCTTTCAGCGATGCAGGCAAACAGCAGTAAACACCCTCCCTTGGCCGGTGCTGACTTTCCGTGCTCCTGATGGTGCTTCTCGGCGTTCCCTTCCTCAGGTGGAGTTGCTGCTTCTCAGTGTCCCAAAGAAGACAGCAGGAGCTCAGGAGCTTCGCATGAGACCACAGGAACCAAGCGGACCTACGATATGATGGAGGGGAGGATCAGCCGGGGCTTGTCAGCCCGTGACACCTTATCTGCCAGCATTGAAGGTGGGTCTGGGTGAAACCTTTCCCCCGTGCTGTGTTAGTAGTCACCCATCTTGTCTCTTGTCTCCATGATGCACCTTCCCGTGCCCCTGTTTTGGCAGTGGCTAGCTGGTGCCTTGCAGCACATCCCAACAGGACAGCAGCTGACCAGCATGGGAAGACAAGGGACACAGACTGGCTCATTTGCCTTTCATTTCTGTCCTGGTAGACCAGTTTCAGGACTACAAAAAAAAACAAAGCATGTTTTAAAAAAAAGAGAAATCAAGTGATTAAGAAATTGTTGATGTTTTTCCTTGTTGTCCCAGGGGTCCCTGGTAACAGTCGTGTATTCTTTCCCCCTTGGATCTGTTCTAGGTCTCATGGGTCGAGCGATCCCTCCAGACCGACACAGTCCCCATAACCTAAAGGAGCAGCATCACATGCGGGGCTCAATTACACAAGGTAAAGCCTGCAAGCAGAAGATGGCCACGGCCAGAGGTAACGTGGGGAAGTATCTCACATGCATGGCCCTTTGTTCTTGTTGTCAGGCTAGGGCAGGAGGAAGCAGGGATGGACACATCAAGGTCCAGCTGTAGATCCCTGCATTCTCAGCTACGTGCTCAGAGAGATTTTCAGTCTTGCTCAGCTTCTACCAGCCTAAACTCTCACCGAAGTCAGGGGTAAAATTCTCAGTGATTCTCATGAAGGCAGGTTGAAACTAGTGTGAAATGGGTCCAGAAAGTGGTGGTAGATGTGTGGTGGTCCAGCTGCATTAGTGATCCAGCTGCTCTGTGTGCTCAGTTGGGCACCAGTCCCTGAGTTACATGCATTAACTAGAGACCCTCTTGAAATGCGCATCCACATGGGGACTGGGAGTCCAGTGTCTGGCTGGGCAATCGCCCTCTGCATCCATCGTCTGCTTGGGGGTTGCAGGAATACCTCGATCCTACGTGGAGGCCCATGAGGACTACCTCAGAAGAGAAGCCAAACAGCTCAAGAGGGAAAACACTCCACCGAGGGACTTATCCGATGCCTACAAGGTCAGGTCTCACGAGGGCCTTACTCCTCTGAAAATGAAACCAGCCCATGAAGGTCTGGTGGCCACGGTGAAAGAAGCGGGAAGATCAATCCATGAGATTCCCCGGGAGGAGCTGAGGCGGACACCAGACATCTCTCTGACGAGACCTCTGAAGGAAGGCTCCATCACGCAGGTGAGTATGGGGTGACCAGCAGATGAGCTCAGTCTTACTCAGGCTGCTGTCCTTGCACAGACCCTGGGGACCATTCCCAAGGTAGAAGGAGAGCAGAGGGGGCTTCAGGTTGCAAACACATCACTGGTCAGAATTGAGGCTCTGCTTGGGTACAGGTTGCCCTTCCCCATTATTTGATCTTTAAAGGTCCCTTCCAACCCAAACCATTCTGTGATTCTATGATCCGTCCCAGCAGATAAATGCAAAACCTGGGGAAAGGAGCTCAGCACTGCCTGACCTGTTAAGAAAGCTGCGCTCCATCCACACGCACACATGGAAGGGGACACATTTGGCTCTTGTTCAAGGCCAGAGTCAACTCGGTGCCCTCGGCAGTTGTGACTCTGGGTGCACATAATCTTGGGCTCCTCCCTTTGTAGGCAAGTGTCAACCCAGCGAGGCCAGTAGTTAGGGTGAAACGTGGCATGCTGTCTCCTGTTGGGCTCCAAATATTTGGAGGGTTCCCATGACACCTCATAGTCCTACCTCATTTCACAGTGCGTGTAGGAGAGAGGCGTGATGGGCACAGCCAGCCTTCGGCAGTGACTCATCATCGTCTTGTCGGAGCACAACAAGACATGCAAGATGGGTACTCCACCCTGTCCTGTGCCATGCAGAGCTGTTACCTCTGCTTTGCCGATGGCTGTTGCTGTTTGACCAAGTAATTTGGTGTACTGACCCACTGACCGAGGAAGCACGAGTCCCAGTGAAATTTGGTGGGATGCGGTCACTGCACCCCCTTCTGCTCTACGCCCCTTTGACGTCCCGTCTGCCTTCTGTCCTCAGGGTACCCCACTGAAGTACGACAGCAGCTCTTCCTCCTCAAGTACCAAAAAGCATGACGTGCGGTCCATCATCGGCAGTCCCGGCAGGACTTTTCACTCTGTGCACTCACTGGATGTCATCCAAGACCCGAGGAATTTGGAGAGAGCTTACGAAGACAGCCTGAAAAACAGGCCAAGCCCGGTGACAAACTCGGGTGGTTCCATCGCCAGAGGGGCTCCTGTGATTGTACCCGAGCCGGGCAAGCCCCACCAAAGTGCCCTCGCCTACGAGGACCACCAGGCAGGGCACAGCACGGCGTTCGGCAGCCACTTGCACAGAGGGTCTCCGGTCTCCACGCGGGAGTCCACGCCACGGCAGCATGAAGGGACTTGGCGAACCTTTTATTTGATGCTAAGCAAGGCGAGCAGGCAAGGTGTGCGGGAGGCGGCTGCTGATCCCACCTGCCCGAGCCGTTCCCGGCAGGTGCCCGTCGAACCCATTCTCCCCAGCACCCCGCGCCCACTCTTGCCCGCGGCCGCGGCTGACTCACGGTACTGGGGCAGCTGTCGGGGACGGCTGAGGCTCAGCTCCCTCCCCGGGGGTGCTCACACGGTTGCAGCGAGGGCACCCCACATCTGCGCCGGGGTGACCGAAGGGAGATTGGACTATGGCTGGTGAAGCTGACGGTGTTTAGAAAGCGTCTTCCCAGTCCCGGCGTTGGCCCAGGCACCCCTGTTTCTACAGGCAGGCAGGAAAGCAGTGTGCCGGGTGGGGGGGTCTTCACACTTTTGACCGATCTGGTGTGTGTGTGTTTGCCTACCTCATGTGTTTATGCCTCATCCGTCACCTGGGCACCCAAGTACCTCACCTCCAGCAACATCTAATCCCTTCTGAGCCGGTGGATCCGGGCAGTGCAGCTGGCCTTTGGGATCTGCCATCTCCCCAGCCCATCTGCCTGCACCAGGCAGGGTCTGCCCATGCCTCCGGCATCAGCCATCTCCTGCCCCCAAAGCCGGACCTGGGGCTCCTGGGGAGCAGGCGCGTGTCTGGGCTGTGCTCAGCGGTCTGGTGAGACACGCTCAGCTCCAGAGCTCAAAAATCCCTCTTGCTTCCTGCCACCTTTGTGGGCAAGATCAGT